CAATAAAGATTGATTTAATTAATTATTTAAATTTTATATTGTAAACATCAAATCAAAATTATGTGACATTGTAGCGATTAATAATACAATAATTTTTCGAAGAACTAATGCCATTGGTCATATGAAAATGATGCAAATGTTGCTGATGTTATATATGCAACAAAAAAAAACATGAGATATCCGTAAAAAAGGAACAATTCAAAGAAAGAAAGAAAGAAAGAAAGAAAGAAAGAAAGAAAGAAGAAAGAAAGAAGAAGAAGAAGAAGAAGAAGATAACGTTAATGTACGTACCACCTTGAGTGATTTATTCCAATTTTGGCAAATCTGCTGTTACATATTGTTACACAATACACGCCACCCGCACTTCCTTATTTTAAACTTTGATGTCTTAGTTACCAAAAATACCATTTGAAGTTGGTTTGCAGCCAAAGAGGAACAACAAGCATAGATAACACACAGTTGATGGCTGCAATTTGTTTGTATAGACAAACGATAGCCACAGTGAATCTCTTGAAATTTTTTATTAGGCAATATTCTATAAGTCCACCAAAACATCATCAACCATATTCTCAGGGTGCTCCAAGTCAAGGTGTGAGGATGCCAAATCGTTTTCTAACGCTAAGCATGTGGCTATGCCCCACCATTCACTTGAATGACAATCTTCAGGTTTGCTTGCTATGGATGACACATTCGGATAATTGATTTCTTTCTCACAAAAATATTTTTGATTATATATGAAACCAGGGTGGCACTTCACTACCTTGAATTGTCAATACAAGACTATATTGCTTGAAGAAATCAGGTTGTGATTAAAAATTGTTTGAATAAGAAGTATAATAATTAAAATGTAAGAAATTGAAAATATATACAAGTCAAATATATAGAGATTCATTGTCCAGGGAAAAAAAAAGAAATTCAAGTAATTCAAAAAATAAAAAATGCTCACAATTTGTAAATCTTGTGTAAGGATTCCATACTCCTGAAATAAAATGACAGGTTTTATGTTCTTCATAACAAGCTATAAAGCCGTTGCTGAAATTGATAACCTATACATAATAAAAAATTGGCTATGAAGAAATATAATGATTAATGTGAAAGAACAAGATAAACAAAATAAACCTTAGATTGGAATGATTCAATGAACTCCCATAGTTTCTGCTAACACAATGCTCCATTGATGGACAACCACTTGCGATGATAGATTTGACGGAAGTTGGGGCAAGGACCGAAGCGTAGAGCAATTAAAGAGATCAAAAAATAGAAGCTTGGAAAGATTGGAAATGAAGCGAGATGGTAAGTCAATGAAAATTGTTCCCACTTAAAATTAAATGTGTAAATGATGATAACATGCTTATGTCATCTGGAAGTGATCCATCATTAAGTTTGCAATAACCTAAATTTAATTGGCTCAAGAATGATAAAGAATGGGACAACATAAAATTTTTTGACCTTAAAGGCCTTTGAAACCCAAATGACTTCTTCAGAAGGGACATGCAACTCCATGATGATGAAGAATGTGCTTGACTATTGTATTCACAAAGTGATGGTGCCTTTTTAGAAATTCACTCATATCAAGCACTTCCAAAGCCCCATTTTCATTCAAGTCGTCTTGCCTCCTTGAAAACGTTGAACAACCAAAAATTTTGATAATCTTCCTGGCTATCAATTTACAAACAAGCATAGAGATATATTTCATTGCCTTTCCAAACTCAGGAGGTTTTATAATTTTTGAACAACTAGATAGAACAAAATTCTTTAAGCGATCCATCTCAAATTTTCTTGGAAGGGTTATAACTTTTTGCATTTCAAATTAACAACAACAAGATTCTTATGTTGCCCAAGAGACTGGTGAAATTCAACCAGTTTAGAACACCCTTCTAGAATCAATATCTCAAGATTAGGAATTTAATCAAAACCTGGAGTTTTGATGAGGATTTGGAATGAGATAAATCAATGGACTTCAGCCTTGGTGGAGACTAAAAAGAAAACAAAAAGAAAATAATAAGTCCTAAAATATGACAAACTAGTTATAATAATAAATTTATTAAATTAAGGACAAACAATTTAAATGAATGGATCATAATTACCTGTGCTCCCCTCCAAAGTTCTTTTAACTTGCTATGTTGCATTTTTAGAACAACAAGTTCATGGAGTTGAGTTTGATCGGGCAAAGAATCTAAAGGATGCCCATCCCCTCCTAAGACTTTCAGCCCATTGGGAAGGGACTTAATTCCATGCGAAAGATTCAATTGACAATGAGAAATATGTGAGCAGCTTGAAATGTCAAGTAATTTGAGATTGCTCATCTTTGAGAAGGCTTCAGGATGCCAAAGTACATCAAATGTTTCTTCTAAATGTTATAGCTATACCCCAAATTGCTCCTGCCCCTATAAAATAATAAGTCGATCAAATACTAATGTACCAATTGATAGAATAAAATATTAAACAAAGAGTGTATGTATAGTCACAAAACTTAAGGGTGTTACCTTATTTCCTTCTAATACATCATTGGCATCCTTAAAAGACAATATCCTAGAATGCTTGCTAGCATCATCAGGTGATTCTTGAGAGACAATATATTTCCCATATCTTGAAGTATATGATGCACCCACAAACATCCTTCTGAATCAATTACTAGTGATTTGTCAATAAGAACATCTATCCACTTGTTGGGTGAAGATCCTCATCCATATTTCTAAATTTTTTGATAAGAGGGGCTTTGGCCGTCTCATCAAAAAAGCAAGCAATATCCAAGAATATAGTCTTTTCCATATGATCTAATTCATAAAAACTTACCTTAAGTATCTTCAGAATGTTATTTGGAGGAACCTTCTTCAACTTAGCAAGTGCATCCTTCCATTTCTCTATAGTTCTTCAACAAAGAAAAGAACCCAACACTTTGAGTGCCAAAGGACGGCCGCTAGCATATAGAACTGTTAACCACAGTTCTGGAAAGCTCCAGAAAATCTTCACTTGGCTTACTTCCTTTAAAGGCATTTTGATGGAAAAATTCAAGGGATTCATCACTAGTCAAGAATTTGATATCATACTAAGTAGATACACCATGTGATAATAACAAATGCTTGTCTCTAGTTGTTATTATTATTAAGCTCCCTTTACCAAACCATCTTTGATTTCCTGCCAAATTTTCAAGTTGACTTATATCACTCACATCATCAAGGACGGGAAGAATTTTCCTATTGCTTAACATGTTGTTTATCAACTTCCTTCCTTCGTAATAGTCATCCACATCCATGCTTCTTTTATACAAAGAAGAAAGAAGTTTTTTTCGCAAGGAAACTAACCTTCTGCTTCATGTACCTCTCTAACATTAAGAAGAAAGCAATAAACTTCAAACTCTTTGAACATTAGCTCATAGAAAGCTTTTGCAAGAGTAGTTTTTACCTAAGCTACCTGTGACCCATATTCCTATAAATATAATTGAACCTCACCCAATCCGTTATCTATAAGTGAATTTAAGTCTGCAAGTTTTCATTCAATTCCAATAATCTCTCAAAGTCAAATGGAAGTCCATCATATATTTTTTACCATACTTTTTCAATAACAGTTTCAACGAGTTTTGCTTCATGCCTACAAATGAATATAAAGTATAATATCTTTAACGTCAAGTCAATTGAATTTTAACTTTTATATAAACTAAAATGGTTAACATGATATAAAGAAAATATGGTCACATGGGTAAAATTAATTGTTAGTTCAACTACGTAACATAAGTTAACCTTCACATGCATACTTTTTTCGTAGTTTTTAAAATTATTGTAATGCAATATTAAATGGCTTAGATGCATAACTTTGGTTCCTAATTGTTTAGGTGATCATGTTACTAAATTGCTTCTCCATAATTTTCTTACTGGCATTAACGTTCTTTTGCAATCATGAGTTGGATATTAAAAAGGACTCAGTATTCAAAACATGCACCTCAATTCTGAAGTGAATGGTGATTCGCATGGAGTTTGATGAGGTGAGTCAATTTAATCATGATTAGTAGATAATTTGACTTTTCATAGATTTTGTATTTGAATTTTATATAAGGGAAAACATTTTTTAATCTCTAGAGTTTCGTCAATATTGGTCAGGTTAATGTATAGTTTTTAATGAAGAAATCAATCTATAAAATTATAGTCAATTTTGGTCAAATTAAATCTCCGTTGTCATCAAACATTGTTGCTACATGTTAGTCACATGTGATCTTAGAGACATTGACCCAAGTTAGCCATAACTTCGAATATTTATTTCTTAATTAATGAAAAAACTAAAGGGTCTTAACGAAAATCCAAAACTCTAGAAACAAAAAACTATGTTTCCCCCCGTATATGTAATCATATTATAATAGCAAACAACAATTTTTAAGTAGTTTAAAGTAATTAATATCCACACACTTAATATTTTTTTTTAATTACACACAAACAAAATAAGCATGAAAGGAAATATTCTTCATATCCACACCCTTAAAATTATTTAAAAAAATATTCATGATATATATTGGAAGTTCAAGAAAGAAATTACCAAGCTATCAGAATGCCAACCAGATAAGTTATCAACTTCTTCCAAAGCATCCCTCCAATTATGCACCTTTATCTTGATTGTGAATTTCTTCATGCTTTTAAATGCTTCTGCCAAACTTCCTCTCTAATGTCGAACATCAGATAGATCCATACAATAAAAGATTGGAAATACATGAAAATCCAACTATTTCTTAAAATGAATAATCTTTAATAGCTCATCCAAGCACCAGGTCGAAGAAGCATAATTTGGAGAGAGAACAACAATTGCAGAAAGAGATTCTTCAATTACTTGGACTAATAGTGTGTTTCGTAAAACTTTCAGAGAAAGAAAAAGAACCTTGAACTTTAAATCAGAAGTTAAAACAAAAAGGGAATCCTGGATTTTACTTTTCCTCCTAATTATCAACAACCAAGTCATCACTCAATAGCCAGCATCTCATCTATACGCAAATGAAAAAATAAGCAGTGACTTACCAGCCACAATCGACAATGAAGATGAAGATGGCCAATGGAACAAGAGAGTGCCGATGATGGCCGGCAGAGCAAGGGAGTGCCACTAATGGCAGGCAGAGCAAGAAAGCGAATGGTCAATGGAGTAAGAGCATTGAACAAATATTGGAGAAGACAACCTAAATGGAATAAAAAATAATAAACGGCTGATATTAACACGCAATGGACAGCCTAGATTTTTTCTTCTTTTAATGACATGGTGTGCACGCGCAATGAGCACCTTCGTGTACTGAGCATTGAAGATGAACCCGATTATAAAGATGCAAATATGGAGACGACGAAAGTAGAAGGAGAGATCAATCTTCCAAGTTTTAGAACTTCCCCTTGATTCCCATGATACCCTTGACATTCTGCAAATTTCTCTCATATATCTACATGATAGAGCAAGCATTCGGGTTTTCATCGCTGAATATCTGGTGGAGTGGGTAAGGGTTCATCTCTATGGTGTAAGAAGGGTAGAAATAATATGTGTTCACTGTCATCTCCACCACCTTCGCCTCTTCCGTCACCACTACTTCCTCCGCTTTTGCTGCCACAGCCTCCCCCTCTCCAGCTTCTTTCTCCTTCTCCTCCTTCTCTTCTCCTTTTCCTTCTTCCTCTCCTTCTCTTTCTCTCCTCTGCCCCCTTCCTCTACTTTCTCCTCCTCCTCCTCTTTTCCTTCCTCTGCTTTCTCTTTCTTCTCTGTCACCTCTTGCTTCACTATCACAGCTTGCTTCCCTGTTCGCTTCCACATGAACTCCACCAATTTCGCTGGATCAAACACTCCCTTCACGCTCACCTCTGACTTCTTCAGATCCAGCTCCGCCGATCCCACCCCTACAAATTATTTTCACCCTATTAGAATGCAAACCTTTTGTTTCACATGCCTCTCTGACATTAAGAAGAAAGCAATGAACTTCAAAGTCTTTGGTACTTTTGCTCATAAAAAGTTCTTGCAAGAGTAGTTTTACCTGAACCACCTGCGCCCCATAATCCTATAAATCGAACTTCATCCAATCCATCTTCTAAAAGTGAATTAAAGTTGGCATGTTTTGATCCAATTCCAACTAATCTTTGAGAGTCAAATGGAAGTTTATCATATATTTTTGACCTCATTTTTTCAATAACATCTTCAATGAGTTTTGTTTCACGAGACCTGCAAAGGAAAATAAAGTAATGCCTTTAACATTAAGTCAATTGAATTTAATTTATATAAACTAGAATAGTTAATGTGATATAAAGAAAACATGGTCACAAGGGTAACATTTTTAGTTCAACTACGTAACATAAGTTAACCTTGACATACATTTATCATTTTTAAAATTATTGTAATGCAGTTTGTGATAGAAACAGGATAAATAATATTATTGACAGCCTTATTTTTAAACTTACTATTTTTTTCCTCTTATTTGTTTTATGACAGGACCTATATCAATTATGAAAGCTACACTTTTGTAAGGAGTTTGAGCTGAGTCAATTCAACCATAATTCATACATAATTTGACTTTTCATAGATTTTTTATTCAAATTTTATATAAGGGAAAACATTTTTTTTATCTCTAGAGTTTTGGTCAATATAAGTCTAGGTTACTATAGTTTTTTTTATTATTATTAAGAATTCAATCTATAAAATTATAGTCAAGTTTGGTCAAAATCTCTATTGTCATCAAACACCGTTGGTACATAAGGACATGTTATCTCCCACCAAAGTTAACTATAAGACCTATTTCTTAATTGATGAAAAAAACTTTAGAATCTTAATTTAAGACCAAAACTCTAGGAATAAAAAAATGTTGTCCCTTTATATATAATCATATTATAATATAGGTAACAACAATTTTTAAATATTTTTAAGTAATTAATATCCATAACCTCAATTAATATTCATTTTTTTATAATTACAAAAATATGAAGTACACAAATTAAAATGAAAGGAAATAGTCTTCATATCCGCACCCTTAATATTATTTTAAAAAAGTATTCATGATAATTATTAGAAGTTCAAGAAATTACCAATTGTTAGAGTCCCAGCCAGATAAGTTAGCAACTTCTTCCAAAGAATCCCTCCAACTTTTCACCTTCATCTTGTCTTGGGGAAGTTTTTCTTCATGCTTTTTAAATACTTCTGCAAAACTTCCCCTTTGATGTCGAACATCAGACGGATCCACACCATAAAAGATTGGAAATACATGAAGACCTGACTCTTTCTTAAAATGAAGAATCGTTGAGAGCTCATCCAAGCACCAGGTTGAAGAAGCATAATTTGGAGAGAAAACAATAATTGCAGAAAGTGATTCTTTAATTGCTTGGAGCAGACTTGGTTTAATAACTTGTCCCCTCTCAAGTTCTTCATCATCCCTAAAAGCTATGATTCCCTTCCGTTGTAAAGTACAATACAAATGATCTGTAAAGCTTCTACGAGTGTCTTCTCCTCGAAAACTCAAGAACACATGATACTTCCATCTTCTAGCCAAACCTGAAGAGCTTGAAGGGTAGTCAAGTCGATGAGCTTCAAGTGCCATAACAGTTTGAAAGCTGCACCACGCAAATTACGACAAATACATTCATCAACATCAGGATGTGTATGATAGACAGAAACTTTAACAAATAATGTGGCAATCAATCAGAAGTATTAGGGTGAACTAATTTATGTACGACAATCTTTTGCCTGTAATGGTATTACAAAACAATACTTCATACAGCGATGCTGTCTCGGTTAGTAGGGAAGCAATGCAGAAATGAGTATTGGGAAGTGAAGAATGACACATTTTACACGAAGTTATCAAACAAAGACTAGAAAATTGGTTGCAGCCGCTTATTTGCACATATTTCATATATATATATATATATATCTGTGTGCTGTTTCAAGCTTGAATTGCTTTGTATAATCAATATTTTTTTCTTTTTCTTTATTCTAAGCCTTCAATTCAGACTAATTTGGTTGGCAGCTTACAAGCACTTCTTTGAGAGGCATACCTTTCACCAAGAATTCATTAATCAATATTATATGCTGAGTGTGTGTGGTAACAAGAAAAAAGCATATATGTTTTATTAAGTTATTGAAATATTTATCTTTGTTAGACTCACAACTTTTTCAGACTTTTACTGTCTCAAAAATACATTGATTTATCTTTTTAATTTCAATGTGAAGATTCATCTCGATCTTTTGTTCAAATTATATATATTCAACGACATATGAAGTAAAAACATATTGAAAATTTGAACTTTAATTAGTATTTGATTTATTTTTAATTAACTAATTTTTTATTTAATTATTTATATAGATATGCTAAAATGAATTTCAACGAAAATTCATGATTAAAAACTTAAAACTGTCAATATGTGTGTTTTAATGCTGGAAACTTATCGCACAGACAAAGCAGAATGGAATCAATTTGACTATAAGAATTAGAAAATAAAATAACAGAAACTTCAACAGGCAATAGTGTACTCAAGACTCTGTTCCCGCTAGATACACTCTTCAAGAATAGATAATTTCACAGATGGATCTAAACATAAAAATAATGATTTCATAGAATAGATCTAAAATAGGAACCTGAAGAATAAAATAATGTTGAGGCCAATAAGTCTTGTGTTTAGTCTTCAGTCTCTGATGATCTGCAAAATATGGGGTGTGTGTGTGTGTTTGTAAATGAAGCTCCAAGCTAAGCTAAGGCATATACAAGACTCAGTCCCAAGTCGTCGTCGTCGAAGTCAGGCTTCGCAGAACTTTCAGTTTGGAAAAGCAAAAAGCAAAATGTTTAATTGTATACATTATGAATATGAAGCAGTGGAAGTGAGGTGGAGTCTTCCCTTTTAGGATGTGTTTGGATTAAATGGAGAATAATAGTTAGGTCCCAAAATATTAAATTAATGACAATGATATCCTCGATAAATTTTTCTAAAATAATTTTAAAATATCGATCCATATAACTGCAAATTTAGTTTTAATTGCAAATACATATTTATGTATCAAATGTAATTTTAAATTATAAGAATAATTTCTATTTATAGCTGTTTGAATTGATTTTTTTATATATATAATTATCTATTATTCATAGGCCGAGGGTAGGACCACAATGATGGCAAAGCTATCCCAACACATATTTAATACATTTGCATACACAAGACTTGAATTTAAAACCACTAATTAAGCTAGCACAACTTCTTATCAATTGAGTTACATGCTCGTTGGTGCTTGAATTAATATTTGCAAGTTTTTTTTTAGAAATTTTTTATTAGGAACCTAATTGTTATTAATTTAAATTCTATTGATATAATGATTTTGTTGATAGGTAATCTATAAATACTTCTTTAAGTGTTTTTTGAGTTTGCCTTCCAGCTATCTCTAACGCTATAGATTTTTTTTTTTTTGGGTAAATGTCTTTATATAACATTGTGACATGATTTATATTTAGTTAATATTTTTTTAAAAAAAACTTATTTGTCAAACAAAATCCAAACTCAACAGCTTTAGACACTTGCGTTCAATGTTTTTTCCTAAAAACTTTTCATCTTATTATAAAAAAGGAAAATCACATGCAGCCCCTTCCCAAGGAAATTAATCATAGATAAAGACCAACATGGAATGGATTATTATTAAAATGAAAACATGACTTATTTTTTCTTGAATGGGACTTGTTGTTGGACCTTATCTCTGTAATAAATTTCTTTGAGAAGGGGTTGGATATAATTCTCCTTTATAAAAATTGACTTCGTACCAGAAACTTTTTAGAATAAGTTGACAAAATCTTCTTGAAAAACTAAACACAGCAACGTCAAGCTCTGGTGTTCATGTTTCACTTCTGTTTTTTCCTCAAGTTATTTAAAGGTCAGTTTTGTCTTTTCACTTCTAGAGACATTGAAACTGAAGGATCAAGATCAAATAAAATGTTCTAACGGAATTTTAAAACTTGAGACTTTTGTCCAGTTATTTGGAACTCATGGTTTTTCCCCGCAATTTTCCCGGAAGAAAATGTTGGGAGTGAGCCAAGTCTTCTCTTAAGTCTCGTCTTTACTTTCGGCGCTTAAATTTAAACTTTTAAATTTTCATTAGATTCAAATTTATATTCAGACCTGCCACTAATCCATTATTGTTCAATTTAGAACACATTCTTCTATTCGGTGGACCCTCTGAAGATTTTTTTTTCTTTAACAATTCAGTCTATTTCCTCTCACGGCTTTTAAGGAAATTCAAGATCACATGCTGCATATAATAATGCAAACTAAAACAGGGCAACGCAATAAAAGCGAGTCACTGACTCTTGCACCCTATTCGCAATAAAACTGTGTTAAAAATATTTTTAAAGTAATTAAAAGGTTGTTCCATTGATAATAATGGTTTCACACAATAGAGATTCTAATTAGTTTTGGTGAAAGGTAATAATTACTTATTACTACAAAATTACTTAGATAATTCTAAATTGATTATAAAGTTCCTAAAAAACATATAAAAATATTTGAAGTCATCAAATCCCCACACTTAAATGTTTACTTGTCCTCAAACAAAAGAAAATTATTATTTAAAAAAATAAAAGAAATTGTGAATATTCAAGGTCAATTGTAATTCAAATTTTCAATAACTCAACTTACCTAAAAACCTTTCTTGCCTTCCAAAAATATCGGCAGCAAGGGAATTAATTAAGTAAAAATAACTTCTAATAGGTTGTCCCTTACCAATCTCTGCAGTCTACACTCAAAGTGTCTAAAGGTTTGTATTTTAGTCCATTCCACAAATTAAAACCCATTTACCATAAATTTGTTTCCCATTTCACTTTCCACTAAATTAAGCCATTATACACATAAATCAAAAAGACTTTTCAAGGGTTGAAAATGCTTGAGACATGTTGAGGAAATGATTAATTGGTGGATTTTCTTTTAAAAAATAAATAAACGGTATTTTAATAAATTTTAAACCAAAAAGAATTTCAAATTATTTCTTTTATCCTGCCACACTATTTTAGATTTCATTGATCTTAATTTAAAATGAAATTCCTACCACGATTCTTTACTGAAACCTCCCCCCCCCCAAAAAAAAATGAAATAGATCTATGATAAATCTAATACATCAATAAATTTAAGAAGCACTATACCATTCAAACTACTGTCTGTGGATCATCTTTTGGAAGTCTACTTGCTATGATTTTGTAAAAGGAATCCCAAGTGTATCTAAGCATCCATGAGTGTGAAAAAGCCCATGATCCCATATAAGTTAAAAAAATGACAATAGAGATAGAATAAACATTTAAAAATTGTTATGCATTTCAAAAACGAGTGAACTTTTTCAACATTTCCAACAACATATAAACATTAGATAGGCTTACATTTTAAGAATTTGTGTAATTAGTTTGAGATTTGACTTGTTTCCCATGTTTTTTACTTGTATTTTTCGTGTACTTTTCCCTGTTTTCGCACTTGTTTCCCCTGTTTTTGTGCATTGTTTCTAATTTGCCTAGAATTGTGTGAAATTTGGTGTTCCCCTGTTTGTGGGCGTGATGAACAAAATTAATACCTTTGGGGTTAGGTTGGGGTTAAAATTTGCAAATTCAACTCTTTTGACCACTGTTTCAATTTCTCAATCATTTTTATTGCATTTTTCAGATTTAATTTTGATATATCTTCGCACAACTTCCTTTGAAGTTGATGATTAATATAATGATATCCTATCATTTGCTGCTCGACTTAACCAACCATCATTTCCGTGATGCATTTTCTAAGATTTGGATAAGTTATGCTAGAGCAAAGGAAAGCTATTTTCCAGAATTTGAATCAGAATTGTATTGATACTATAAACTTTTGGAGGTGAATTTTATGTTTACTTGCTAATCTTAGATACTAATTGTCAATACTCCATACAAGATGTTGACTAGGCTAGTGGGGAAGAAGCGCAGAAATTAGGATTGGAAATGAAGATACAGATTTTACACAAAGTAATCCAAACAAAATCAATAGGTACGTTGATGATTCTCTCATTTTTTTAGTTGAGCGATATTATTCTCATTGTTCATGGGTAATATAATTTAAGAAAAATTATAATTTTATTCTTTTTATCAATTAAAAAAATATTTTATATTAAACAAATGAAAAATATATATCTAAAAACTGTCATTGACAAAAGTTTTATAAATTTCATTACCTATTATTTTGTTTATTTTTTAAATCTCTTATTTGTTTGTAGAGGTTATTTTCTATTTTAAATAAAGTTTTTAGTACTTATTCAAAGTACAAAAAGTATGTTCTGCTTTAGAATAAGATATTGTATGGGTGATTTGTATTGATTTTGTCAAAAACAACTTACAAAATATCATAGTTTTCTTGTATTAAATGATAAATTTTTATTTATATAATTTTTATCAATGACGGCTTTTAAATATTTTTTTTCATTTTTTAATATAAAATACTGCTTTACTGAATAAAAAATAATAAAATTATAATTTTTCTCTCAAATTGTATTACCTGTGGACCATAAAAAAATATCGCTCAACTAAAAAAAAATAAGAGCATTGTCATATGTGTTAGAATTAAAAATTATAATTTACCTCACCTTAAATTGTGTTAAAAATAATTAAAATATTTTTTCTAGGTCATGTGCCATGTTTATTACATTAATATGACACATTAATAACTATATTAATAAAATAATAGTTAATTAATTATAGTGGGTTTTGAAAAACAAAATAAAAGGTTCAAGGGGTTAATTTTAAACATGAAATGATGAGAGAGGTTACATACAAGTTGATGGGAATTTCATGAATTTTAGCCTAAAAAATAAAACTAGCTAGGCTTGATTTACCTATGTTAGTCTAATAATTATTTCAGATTTTCTATGATCTCATAAATATATTGATTTATTTAATTACTCGGATGTGAAGATTCATCTTGATCTTATGTTAAATTATATATATTCAATCACATCTACAAGGATATTGAAAATCTGAAATTTAATTAGAAAGATTTATTTTTAATCAATTAAATTTTTATTTAATTATTTATTTTAATAAGATAAATGAAATTTACAAAAAAAAAATCATAGAAAACTTAAACTACTGTCAACATATGTCTTTTAGCACCAAAAAAATCCTAGAAAAAAAAAATCCTACGCCGGATCCGTCCTCACACAGTTACGAAGGCAAAACAAAATGGAATTAATTTGACTTAATTAAGAATTAGAAAACAAAATGAGAGAAACTTCAACAGGCAGTGCACTTTAGATTCTGTTCCGCGAGAAACTATACAAAGGTTAAGTCGAAGAAGAATAATGATTTCACATATCTAAGCATAAAACAATGATTTCATTGAACAGATCTAGAAAAACAGAGAGCAAAGGAGAAAATAGGAACCTGAAGGATGAAATAAATAATGTTGAGGCCAATAAATCTTTTGTTTAGTCTTCAGTCTCTGATGAGCTGCAAAATCTACGAGGTGCGTGTGTGTGTGTTTGTATATGAAGCTCCAAACCAAGGCATATATAAGACTCAGTCCCAAGTAGTCGTCGTCCACCAAGTCAGTCTTCGCAGAACTTTCATTTTGGAAAGGGACAATGGAAACTGTCGTGTGTGTGTTTGCATGTGAAGCTCCAAACCAAGGCATTTATAAGACTCAGTCCCAAGTAGTCGTCGTCCACTAAGTCAGTCTTCGCAGGACTTTCATTTTGGAAAGGGACAAAGGACACTGTCGTGCATGCACCTTTGATCACTAATCTATATAATATATATATATATATATATATTGCTAAATGTCTCTATATAACATTTTAATATGAATATATATGAAGCAGTGGGGAAATTGGGAGATTAGATTATATCTCAAGTGGCTAGAAAAGTTTAGATATTTAAGAGCTATTATTTGATATGATGGAGAAATTGATGGGGAATATTACATATAAGATACAAGTTGGGTGATTTAATTGGAGAAAGGCTAAATGAATTATTTGTTATAAACTTAAAGGATTTATTAAAGGGCTAGAAAACCAGCTATATTAAATGATAGTGAATGTTGGGTTTTAATATGATAGCAAGATCATAAAGTTAGAATAGCAAAGATAAACATGTTGAGATAAATATGCGGATATACATATAAAGATAAAATTCTGAAATAATCACATATGTAAAAAAGTGGGCGTAGCACTTATTGAGAAAAAGTAGTAAAAAATCATTTGAGATAATTTGGACATGTACAAAGAAGACACCGACAGGTGTTAATTATAAAAGTGGAACAAATAATTTTGAACTTCGTTAAGAGAGGTAAAAGAAAGTCAAAAAAATACTTTTAAAAGTTATTTAACTAGATCTCTTAGTTAACAACATTTTTAAAAGCTTGGTATATGATAGATCACAATGGAGACATATAATCCATGTAATCAACTTCACCTAGTAGAATAAGGCTTCTTGTTGTATATGAAGCAGTAGAAGTGAGGTCAAGTCTCCTTTTTTTATTTTTTGTGGTGTATTTGGATTAAATTTTAAAAATTGAGTTTATAACTTGAAGATAGGATAAAAGTGGATCAGATGCTACTGTAATGTATTTTATGTTCAGATACTTAGTTTTTTAAAATAGTCAATTTCACAAATTTAAAAACTAAACTCGGCAGCTTCATCAAGCTCTCAGATTTAGTTTTTTTTTTTTCCTGAAAACTTTTCATCATGTTAAAAAAATTATGGAAACTTTTTAAAATAAGACGACATAATTTTCTTGAAAATCCAAACTCAGCATCATCAAGATCCCATGTTCATTTTTTGGCCTCTAATTTTCTCTCGAGATATTAAAGGTCATTTTTGCCTTTTCACCCATGAAAATATTGACACTTGGAAAGATGAAATATTTTAATGAAAAAATTTGGAGACTTGGAACTTTGGTCCAATTATTCAGACCTGCTTCCACTAATCCGTTATTTAAATTTCTTTTTAGTGGGGACGTCCCAGCACCATCCTTGCCCTTATTATTTTGATTGTTTAATATAGAACACATTCTTCTATATTATGGACCCTCCTCTCAATAAATATTTCTTTGACAATTCGGTCTCTATTTCCTCTCTACACGTTTTTTATGGAAATTTCAAGGTCACATACATGCATAGATATGCTCTTGTCATAGACCCTACTCTTAATAACCTACTCTTCTAAAACTATAATATAAACCATTGTTAACTTATTTACTTTTTAAAAAAATTGATTAAAATTTTGATTTTTAAAAATTTTCAATATCTTAAAGCCCTCCCCATTTAAATATTAAGTAGACTCATAATATGCCATGTACATCTCAAGGCTTTTAAAATGGGAGAATAATATTTAAGTCTCAAAAGATTGATCAATTATAATTAGGTTCTAAAACATTTTGAATGAAGGTGGATTGCAAAATTCTATTTTGAAAGTTGCAAATGTGAGAGTTTTAGTTGCAAATCTGATGGAGATGAAGATCCAGAGAAGATTTACGAATCACTTCCTAGGGCTTATATCAGAATTTATGGGAAGGGAAATGGTGTAACTCCAGTGGTTGCAAGTATTAAGAAGTCGTATGTGAGTAGGTTTTAGGTGCAGCTAGAGTGTAGGCATGCAGTGTTGTTTTAGCATTTTGGCCTCTAGGTCCTTCAAATCTACCGGAAAGACGAAAGATCAATTATAAATCTAAAATTACAGTTATCTTATAAGTTATTATTATCTACTTTTTAATTATATTTTTTAAAAATTTATCCAAAAATTATATAAATTATTTTACAAATCATATTTTTGAATTTATAATGAATTCCACAACCCTAGATCCTGATTTAGATGCAGTTGATGCAGAAATCAATGTCACCACTAGGAACAGATATATTCACTAGAGATAGCTTAACAGTAATATCATACCTGCTTGCATTGACCAAGATAGTGAAATGCAAAAGAATATTTTTAGTAGTATTCCGTTCTTAGTTGACATTTCAACGCGTTAGTAATATGATCT